GTTTAATCACGTGTTGGTATTCTGGTTAACCTTTGTTCTTCCCACACACACACACACACACACACACACACACACACACACACACACACACACACACACGCGCGCGCGCGCGCGCGCGTTTCTGTTTCATTTATTTTATTGTCTTATCTATTTACTTTAATATTGTTTATTATCTATACTATACTTTTCCACGCACCCAACCGACCCCATGCACCACACACCGTCTTCACCACACACCAGCCACCACCTGCACCACACACCGTCTTCACCACACACCAGCCCCCACCTGCACCACCACACCGTCTTCACCACACACCAGCCACCTTCACCACACACCGTCTTACACCACCACCAGCCACCACCTTCACCACACACCAGCTACTGTCTACACCACACACCAGCCACCACCTTCACCACACACCGGCCACCACCTTCACCACACACCACCCACCACCTTCACACACCAGCCACCGTCTTCACCACACAACCAGCCACCTTCACCACACACCAGCCACCACCTTCACCACACAACCAGCCACCGTCACCACACACCAGCCACCACCTTCACCACACACCAGCCACCACCTTCAGCACACACCAGCCACCACCTTCACCACACACCAGCCACCGTCTTTACCACACACCAGCCACCTTCACCACACACCAGCCACCTTCACCACACACCAGCCACCACCTTCACCACACACCAGCCACCACCTTCACCACACACCAGCCACCCTTACCACACACCAGCCACCTTCACACACCAGCCACCTTCACCACACACCAGCCACCACCTTCACCACACACCAGCCACCGTCTTACCACACACCAGCCACCTTCACCACACACCGTCTTCACCACACACCAGCCACCGTCTTCACCACACAACCAGCCACCACCTTCACCACACACCAGCCACCACCTTCACCACACACCAGCCACCACCTTCACCACACACCGTCTTCACCACACACCAGCCACCGTCTTCACCACACAACCAGCCACCACCTTCACCACACACCAGCCACCGTCTTCACCACACAACCAGCCACCACCTTCACCACACACCAGCCACCTTCACCACACACCACACACCACCTTCACCACACACCAGCCACCACCTTCACCACACACCAGCCACCACCTTCACCCACACACCAGCCACCACCTTCACCACACACCAGCCACCGTCACCACACACCAGCCACCACCTTCACCACACACCAGCCACCACCTTCACCACACACCAGCCACCACCTTCACCACACACCGTCTTCACGCACACCAGCCACCGTCTTCACCACACACCAGCCACTTTCACCACACACCAGCCACCGTCACCACACACCAGCCACCACCTTCAGCACACACCAGCCACCACCTTCACCACACACCAGCCACCGTCCACACACCAGCCACCTTCACCACACACCACCACCACCACACCAGCCACCACCTTCACCACACACCAGCCACCACCTTCACCACACACCAGCCACCACCTTCACCACACACCGTCTTCACCACACACCAGCCACCACCTTCACCACACACCAGCAACCACCACCACACACCACCAGTTTCACCACACACCAGCCACCACCTTCACCACACACCAGCCACCACCTTCACCACACACCAGCCACCACCTTCACCACACACCAGCCACCGTCTTCACCACACACCAGCCACCACCTTCACCACACACCAGCCACCACCTTCACCACACACCTTCACCACACACCAGCAACCACCTTCACCACACACCAGCCACCACCCTTCACCACACACCAGCTACCACCTTCACCACACACCAGCCACCACCTTCACCACACACCAGCCACCACCACACACCAGCCACCACCTTCACCACACACCAGCCACCACCTTCACCACACACCAGCCACCACCTTCACCACACACCAGCCACCACCTTCACCACACACCAGCCACCGTCTTCACCACACACCAGCCACCACCTTCACCAGCTACCACCGCACACCAGCCACCACCTTCACCGCACACCAGCCACCACCTTCACCACACACCAGCTACCGTCTTCACCACACACCAGCCACCACCTTCACCACACACCAGCCACCACCTTCACCACACACACACACCTGACTAACCTTTCACCCTACTCACCACCACCAGACACCATCACCACCACCACCCTCCCCATGTCTTTCTATGCATTAAGTCACATTTGTCCACTGTATATTTTCAGCTCTTTTGGCTGCCGAATTTTTTCAATAAAACATTAATTATTATTATTATTATTGTTACTACATGACCTCACAACAACCACCACACATCACCGCACCACTGCAACCACACATCACCGCCCCACTACACCTCAACACTACAACCATCACTCCCACCACCACACACCACAGCACCACCACCATCACACATCATCGCACCACCACCGCACTACCACCACATACCACCACACACCTCTACCGTTACACACCAATGCATCACCACCACCACCACCACTGTACCATCACACATCACCATCACACACCACTACCACTATCACCACACATCACTACCACCAACACATGTACTGCACCACCACACATCACCGCACCACCACCACACATCACCGTCACACACCACCACCAATGTAGTTTTAAGTGGGGAATAAGAGTGTTGCTTTACAGCTCTTCTGGGGCTGGGAATTTCTAATTTGTCGCACAATGGACCGGGAGAGTGTGGTACCATATTACTGCCTGGGAGGGTCGCTATCTGGACCTGAGAGAGAGAGAGAGAGAGAGAGAGAGAGAGAGAGAGAGTACTACATATGATGACAGAGATGGTATATAATTCTCCTATATGCTGTAGATATCATATACCGTCCAATATACCTCACCATACCTTCACCCTAGGTAATTCTAGCTGTGAGGGGGGCAGTAGGGAGTGGGGAAGGGGGTTAAGATAGGGGCGAGGTAAGGGGAACAGGAAAGGGTGAGAAAGGAGAGAGGAATGACCAGGAGAGGGATAATGGCTAGTGGAGGGAGGAAGAGGTTGGTAAAGGGGGGTAAGGGGGCGAAGGAGAGGAGGGTGAAGGAAGGGGAGGGGGGTAGCACCTGTTAATGGGAGAGGGGTGAAGTAATGGAGGAGTAAGAAAAAAGGTGGACAAGGGGAGGGGAGAATGTAAACAAGGGGAGTGAGAGAAAGTGAACAAAAGTGAACAAAATAGAGGGGGAAATGAACAAGTGTAGGGGGAAAAGTGAACAAGGGGAAATAAAATGAACAAAGGGAGGGGAGAGAATGTGAGCCAAAAGAGGAGAATAGGGGGAAGGGAGGAGGGAGAGAGAGAAGCAATAAAGAGAAAGGGAAAAGGAGGGAGTGAGGGGGGAAGGGAGAGTGAGATGGTGAGTGAACAAAGGGAGGGGGAGGGGAGAAAGAGGAATAGGATGAGAGACGGAAGGAAGGAGGGAGGAGGGAAAGAGTCGAAGAGAGGGAGGGGAGGGGGGAGAAGGACCTTCCTTTATCACCTGAGCTGGAAAATCCCTTCAGAAAATCCTAGAAGGAAATCCGACTTAGGGAGGAGATTACAGGATTGACTGCGGGCGAGTTTGAACAAAGGTCGATGTTATGACTTGAACTACAACCTCTGTACCGTTTATCTATCTCTCAGTACCTTTGTAAGAGATGATCTATCTCTCATTATCTTCGTGGGAGTGTATATTTATCTCTCAGTTCCTTTATGGGAGCATTTATCTATCTCTCAGTACCTTTGTGGGAGTGTTTATTTATCTCTCAGTTCCTTTATGGGAGCATTTATCTATCTCTCAGTACTTTTGTGGGAGTGTTTATCTATCTATCAGTACATTTGTAAGTGTTGATCTATGTCTCAGTACCTTAAGTATTGATATGCCTCCCAGTACCTGTGTAGGAGGGTTGATTGTCTTAGAACCTCCACATGGATGTCTTGGAGGTCCCCACACAGTCTTTTGGGGGCCCCAACATAGTGGTCTTATAGGTTTCCCACATGACTCTCGTGGATGCACAATAGCGGCTGTCAAATGCACTTGTCCCTTCAGCCAGTGAGATGGAAGAATAACTACAACACTAACTTTTTTTTAATGGGCTCCTTGAGTGTATCCCTTGAGTGTATTGTCTTCTAGCTCGTCTGATGAGTATATGACTTAAATGTCAAATATATTAGCGAACTAAGAAATAAATGAAGATAGAGCTATCAACCTATTCAGACAGTATTACATCGCGTTATTAATTAAAGTCAACATCATCTTGCCCTTTCAGTAAAAATCCACTGTAACTTCATTAACTACAAACGAACAAAATATTTTAATGTTTTCTCTTCCGGCAGCTTCGATACACTATGCAAACAATTAGATTGTGGCGGTTAATTCAATACTCGCTGAAATGGGTAAACAGGTTAAAACAACGTCATTAAGCAAGTCCCTACAAAATGTATAAATCCCCTCCACCAATTACCTGGGCGTGGGTGAGGCCGCAGGTAAACAAGTGAGGATCATATTGCCTTGAGTGGGTGATCACCCGTGAAAAACCATTTATTAAAAGACTCCGCCACATTCCCGCCATCAACAAAATCTTGACTTGGCGCGTCTTTCTTGGCGGGTGCGGGAAGCGGACCTGGAAAGCGGCAGCGGCAAGCGAGAATAATAGCGTCATTCCTATTCCGTGCATGTTGTCGGGGGCCGTTGTAATAACTTAGTTGTTGTAGCCTCTTACTCGGCCAGCTCCAGTTGGCATTATTGTCTCCCCGGCAGTCAGTGTGAGAGGTCGACATGATTCATTTGAGCACCACTGAATTCAAGAATGGAGGCCGGCAGTTAATGGGCTCACAGTCTGTGAAGGGCGGAGCGAGGAAGCTGGGAGGAGGAGTCAGCGCTTCCCAGAACAAATCAGGGGCCGCCTGCGGTGAGGGCTTTCCGTGGGCGGAGCCTATAACCAACATTTAGAGAGCCGTGTGTGACGTTCATGTATCAGTATCTCAGTGACAGGTAGAGCATACACAGTTCACCATGATTCACGCTACAGGCATCCCGTTCTTCAACCCGCTACTCAGCATGGGCGGCATGCCGTTCCCTTGGGCACTCCCTACACAGGGCTCACCACCTAGTTCACCGCCTTCCTCACCTGTGTCCAACACCAGCGTGTGGCATCGTCCGCAACCAGCGAGGGCGGCTTCCTTCACCATTGACGCCATCCTGGGTCGCCGTCAGCAAGAAGCGGAACAAGCTGGTCGATCGCTGGCACTCCGACGAGATGAGCGGTTGTCCCGGCCGTCACCTTACCCCGCCGTCAACAACGACCAGAATGTCAACGGCGGCGTTCACTCTTCCGGCAACTCAGGATCGTCAGCCAAGGCGAAAGTGAAGAGAGTAAGGACCATATTCACAGCGGAACAACTGGAGCGGCTGGAGGCAGAGTTCGCTCGTCAGCAGTACATGGTAGGGCCCGAGCGTCTCTACCTAGCCGCGGCGCTTAACCTGACAGAGGCGCAGGTCAAAGTGTGGTTCCAGAACCGACGGATTAAGTGGCGGAAGCAATACATGGAGCAACAACACGCCAAGCTCGCCGGCAACCAGGATTCCTCCATGCTACAAGACGGTGGAGACGAATCTCTCACTGCGACGGAGGGCAGGATTTCTCCACTCGGGGACATTCCTGCTTCCCCTGCCAGCCCGAATAGCACGGGGGAGCTTCCAGAAGAACAGCAAGAACCCCAGCAGCAGCAGCAACAACAACAACAACATGATCAGCCAAGCAGTTTGCCGCCGCCACTCGCCCCTGCGTCTTACCCATCATATTTGGCGGCGACGCTGACGGCGGCGTACGCGGACCAGCAGAATGAACCGGCGGACCTGACCACCTCCAGCGGTAGAGCCAAGTGAGGCGGGAGAGACACACTACCCGTTACTAATACTACCCTCGTCTCCGTGACACAGTGAAACGTGTGGAGCTCACCTTGTTGCTGCCAGTGTTGTCAAACGCTGCTGCTGTTGCTTTTAAGTTTGTAAGCCAGCGGCGTTAACAGTCGAAAATGCGGCCGACGGCGGCGCTGCAAGAACATAAAGTGCTGGTTTTCAACTCCCTGCGACGTTAGCCTAGTGCTTCAAGAGCTTTGAGACGACCTCCTGAAACTCAGGACTCGTGCGAAAGTGACTTGGCGGCCTCGACGAATTCGAAACGATGGAACGAAAACGTCTGGAAACCGCTTTAAGTCAGCATCACCAGATACGACCCAAGATATATATATATATTTTTTTTTACAAATGCTGATATCCTTGTACTATACAGTGAAAAATTCAGTTATGTGGTCAATTGAACTACTGTTACATCCTGTGTATAAAAGACGTGGTGGTCAACCAAGGACCTCAGTGACAAGTGTGAGTCAGCGATTATGTTCAATCTTCACACAGTTCTTGAGTGTTCTAGAATGATGCTGAGTTCCTATTTACAAAATTCCGTGGGCGTGTATATGTATATAATGTATATATTTATGTACTTTTCTTGATTGTTATGATGTGTATCAACGCCTAGGTTACTGTCATTAAGATTGTACTTTGGCCTCTATGATAGATGATAATCTAGTCTTTTTAATAAAATAATTCACGATTAAAATGATTTTCCATATGATCCTTCCTTGTTATAGATTGATATATTTATTAATACAGACAAATATTGCTTAACGAAACCATAATGAGAATATGACTATTTAAATGCCGGATACTTGAAAAAGAAACTGAAGATTACTTAAACAATTTTAACTGCATAAAACTTGAAATTATTTGAAAATAAAAACATATAATAACTATACAAATACTGACACCCAAATGGAATCCAGAAACTTACAATAACTTTGCTCTAAACACCTCACCTCACACTTCAAATGGTTGACTTTCTGACAATTATACACTATGTGAATGTTTATATTCTCTAACACACAGACATAAAGCGTCTGGCAATGACACTTATCCAAAAGGTTGTTAACAAATAAACACCACCTGCAATAATCACGTCCTGAAACCAGTTACTTATAAGCACTTGACATAACCACAATACAGTTAAACCTCCCCATAACGGACTTCGCTATCCATAAAATCCGTTAGATGAGGTTTCACATCAAACGCATCCTCAATATAAGGGACTTTCATCTCTATATAGTCCGTTAACACACCTGGAGTTGTTGACCAACACTCACTAGTTCACCGCGCGGGGCTGATACACTCATTACCTGTCGCTCACACTTAACATATAATTCAAAGGTGACACACTTATCACAATCAACATCAGGGAAACAGACTGCGCTAATAAACACAATTGTTCCTCACTCACACTGAGAAGAGTGACGCGCTCGCCGCTTCATATGTACACTTCATAGACAATTGCAGTCACTCACACTCCTAAAGCACTTATTTGAGACACTTAACACTTCCAATACTTGATGAGCTCAGCATTGCCTCACAGTGAGACACACTAACAAAAAAAACATTGACACATTAAATCGACAAACACACTTCTCATATTTAATAAACCTACATATTTTCCCTCACACTCATACTATGAAAGGATGAAACACTTGCCTAATACACTCAATAAACGCACTTGACAACACTATAACACTCTAAATGAACGCACACGCACACACTTCTTCACTTCTCATACTTAAAAAACACCCTTTCTCACAATCACACAAAACATATATTTCTACTTAATCATACTTTCAGACACACTTAAAAACATAAAAACACTTATCTATGCCACTTAAAGAAAATACTTATCACACTTACTAAACACACTTCAGGACAAGTACCACGTTACCCTTTACGTACAATGAATTAGGTCAATGAGTATCCCTTAACCCTTTGAGTATGATGACAACCCTTTAAGTATGATGACTTAACCCTTTGAATGAGATGAACTATTCCCTTAAGGAAGATGATATCGTACTCAAGGGGCTAACTCATCGTACTCAAGGGATCAAGTCATTATACTCAAGGGGTTCAATCAACGTACTCAAGGGGTTCAGTCATCGTACTCAAGAGGTTCAGTCCTCGTAATCAAGAGGTTCAGTCCTCGTATTCAAGAGGTTTAGTCATCGTACTCAAGGGATACATGTGTGAAAGACTAACAAGGGTCATCTAAAAGACACTTAAATTTAAGCCCACTTATGAATTCATACACTACATAAACACACACACTTCTCACACTACATAAACACACTCACTTCTCACACTACATAAACACACACACTTCTCACACTACATAAACACACTCACTTCTCACACTACATAAACACACACACTTCTCACACTACATAAACACACTCACTTCTCACACTACATAAACACACACACTTCTCACACTACATAAACACACACACTTCTCACACTACATAAACACACACACTTCTCACACTACATAAACACACTACTTCTCACACTACATAAACACACACTTCTCACACTACATAAACACACTCACTTCTCACACTACATAAACACACACACTTCTCACACTACATAAACACACTCACTTCTCACACTACATAAACACACACACTTCTCACACTACATAAACACACTCACTTCTCACACTACATAAACACACACACTTCTCACACTACATAAACACACTCACTTCTCACACTACATAAACACACACACTTCTCACACTACATAAACACACTCACTTCTCACACTACATAAACACACACACTTCTCACACTACATAAACACACACACACTTTCTCACACTACATAAACACACACACTTTTCACACTACATAAACACACACACACTTCTCACACTACATAAACACACACTCACTTCTCACACTGCATAAACACACTCACGTCTCACACTTCATAAACACACTCACTTCTCACACTACATAAACACACACACTTCTCACACTACATAAACACACACACTTCTCACACTACATAAACACACACACTTCTCACACTACATAAACACACACACTTCTCACACTACATAAACACACACACTTCTCACACTACATAAACACACTCACTTCTCACACTGCATAAACACACTCACGTCTCACACTTCATAAACACGCTTTCACTCACACGCAACATACTGCACAAGTCTATGACCCTCCAACTCCTTCCTCACACTTCCAAGCCTCCTACCTCACCTCCACGCCTCCTCCCTCACACCTCCACGCCTCCTCCTCCTCCAGACCTCCACGCCACCTCCCCCACGCCTCCTCCCTCACACCTCCACGCCTCCTCCCTCACCCTCCACCTCCCTCACACCCCACGCCACCTCCCCCCACGCCTCCTCCCTCACACCTCCATGCTTCCCCACTCACACCTCCATGCCACCTCCCCACACCTCCACGCCTCCTCCCACACCTCCACGCCACCTCCCACACGCCTCCCCTCACACCTCCACGCCGCCCACCTCACACCTCCAGGCCTCCTCCCTCACACCTCCACGCCTCCACTCACACCTCCACGCCTCTCCACCACACCTCCACGCCTCCTCACACCTCCATGCCTCCACCACCACGCCTCCTACCTCACACACCTCCACGCCTCCTACCTCACACCTCCACGCCTCCTCCTCACACCTCCAGGCCTCCTCACACCTCCACGCTGCCTACCCACACCCTCTCCAGGCCTCCTCCTCACACCTCCACGCCTCCTCACCACACCTCCACGCCACCTCACACCTCCACACCTCCACGCCTCCTACCTCACACCTCCACGCCTCCTCCACCTCCACCCTCCACGCCTCCTACCTCACACCTCCACGCCTCCTCCCTCACACCTCCACGCCTCCTCCCTCACACCTCCATGCCTCCTACCACCACGCCTCCTCCCTCACACCTCCATGCCTCCTACCTCCACGCCTCCTACCTCACACCTCCACGCCTCCTACCTCACACCTACATGCTCCCTCTCTCACGCAGCAGACATAATTACACAGAGACAATGAGAGCAGCAGGTCCACTCATGACTTGATATGAAATGAAATAAATTAATACCGCTTATGGGATCAAACACTAGCCTTATTGCATCCGACTCATGATGAAACGACTTGATAAACGCTAAAAGCTATTCATTACGTCAGCTAAATTTCCCGCTTCGAAAAAAAATCGGAGTTTTATGACTTTTTGTTACCTTTTTTTATTGGATAAATTGGATTTTTTTATTTTTGTAAACTCAATATCTGAGACCAATTTGTAAAGGTTACGGTACATTATTATTTTCACACGGCTTAACCATGCAGTGGGTGTTTTGTTTTTTGTTTTGTAATATTTTGAAATAAGAGTTTTCTTGGGTTTATTTATTTTCTGTGTGTTTTGTGAGGGAAGACATCTATTGTGTAAATGATCTTGAATATTTGTTATTATTATTATTATATTTGTATTCAAATTATTTTATCATAATATTATCGAGTGTTATTAGCCTACTTACTCGGTAATAATACTAATGTTAATAATATCAGTACTATTAGTGTGTGTGTGTGTGTGTGTGTGTGTGTGTGTGTGTGTGTGTGTGTGTGTGTGTGTGTGTGTGTGTGTGTGTGTGTGTGTGTGTGTGTGTGTGTGTGTGTGTGTGTGGGTGTGTGTGTGTGTGTCCTGCAAGTTGACTGCCTCAAGATTAATCTTTTCATAATTGAATCATCAAAGTGTCGCCTCTGTTATGACAGGAGACAAGTGTTATGGCCGCCCAGTAAGTTCATACAGTACATGAAACTAGCGGTAAATACCCCGCCATAATGCCCACTGTTCTCAGCTGTGTGGTACTGGACACTGACACACGAGTCCTACTGGCCATGTTCACCCTCTCACTCTCCTGTACACATTATGTACGCATATTACTGCCAGCTTCAGCAGTCTCTCCTGACTCATCTGATAAACATCCTTTGTGTCTAAGTACGACTACACGAGGCAACTAAACTGTTACTGGTCATTTTTTGTTTTATAATTAATTGTTTTATCTGTCTTGTTTTTATTAACTAATATTTCTTATGTAACCTCAATCCCAGCATCAGTGTGAGGTGTATACAGTACATGGCCTTGTTTGTATTCTGTAATAATAAAGTTCACTATATTCAAACGTACGTGTTCTCCCCTCCCTTCACCCCAAGCGTGTGGCGGCAGGTGCGTGCCTGGAGGTGCGGTCACCTGCGACTTCAGGTTCTGCGGTCACAGTGGCCACCGCAGGCGATGTATCCCTCACTTGTCACCTCCACCTGCCCGCCACAACTCGCCCGCCTGTGGTCTTACCTCCTGTATGTGTAAGTGTGGCATTGTGCCCTGACCCACACACCCACAGTCACCCTAAACCCCAACAACCACCCATACGCCTATACTCCCAGCCGACATTCACCAATACGCCTATTCCCATCCCACACGCCAACACCCACAAACACTCACAAGTCTTATAAGAATCCCCGAATCTTTGGGAATTAACTGTCGGTGCTCTGTGTGTCTCGTAGTTTGTGCCTGACCCACACCTGGAGGAGGAGGAGGAGGGGTGTACAGAAGGATGTCACAGGTAACGATGACCGACAAGCTAAGTTACTGTACATACGCCCACAGCTCCTCAGGTCACACCAGTATAAGTGTAA